GAGACTGATGTAAGGTGGTGTAATAATAATGGTAAAAGTGAGGGATCGGAAAAGTACAATCAGAAGAAATCTTTCAGTTAAGGAAGAAACAACCATTTTTTTATGAAGAAAGTAAAAAAAGGTTACAGCAGGATCGCCACTGGCTTCTATTCTCAGTCATATCTGATAACGTCTCTAGCCACTGTGTAGAACCAGAGAATCGTGAAGGTCCGACAGAAGACAACCCTTTGCAGATTTCTTTCATACCACGACACCATGTCATGCACTGACCACCTCTCCGCTTCTTCCAACCAGTCCCAGAGTCGGCAAATAATGCACGACGTGGAATTCTCTGGGACGACATTCGGAGAACATGTCCAAGCCACCGAAGTCGGTGTTTCAAGATGGTGACATCGATTGCATTATCGTCTCTGTGCCCGAACGCACGATGCCAAACCTCTGAATTGCTGACATGGTGTTGCCACTGGGTGTCAGCAATCCTTAGGAGACAGCGATGATCGAACACAGAGAGTCGTCTAACGTCCTCAACTCGGAGAGGCCAGGTTTCACAAACATAGAGCAAGACTACTCTCACCGACGCGTTGTCGATCCTACCTTTTACAGCCAGACTAACATCACGAAGGCGCCAAAGATGGCCCAGATTGGCATAAGCCGCTCTGGCTTTCACTATTTGTGCATTGATCTCATCACTCACACCCCCACCAACACTTATGCAGCTACCCAGATACACGGACTTCTCGACTACTTCTATCTGCTCACCATCCAGGGTGAGTACAGGATTAGAATCCTGCCAGTCTTGTAGAAGTAGTTTGCACTTAGAAGGTGCAAAGCTCATACCGTACCTACGGACACTGATTGCCAACTGATTAAGTGCAGATTACATGGCTTGGGCATTATCACACAGTAAGACAATATCATCCACATACTTAAAATCAAGAAGTGTTTCTCCATGCGACAGATCTATACCACCACTACCTACACACATGAGAGCTGTTTCTAGAATGTCATCGATGGCAAAGTTGGAGAGGAATGGTGAGATTGGGCAACCCTACCTAACCCCATTGCTCGAATGGAACAATGGAGAGAGGTGGTTGTATGCCCTCACTCTGCCTGAGGTGTTTGTATATAGGGCTTTTAGGATGTTAATAAACTTCTCAGGCACACCCTTCTTCAACAGCCAATCCCAGAGAACAGTCCTGTCCAACGAATCGAAGGCAGCCCTGATGTCAAGAAACACTACGATTGTTGGCCTTTGATAAGTATGGCGGTGTTCTAACATTTGGCGGAGGGTGAAGATATGATCAATACATCCTCAACCAGAACGAAAACCAGCCTGCTCCTCGCGAGTCAATCTTTCTCGGGTTTTGAACAACCTACGAAGAATGACGGAAGCCAATAGCTTGGACGCAATCGGAAGTAGACTTATCCCCCGATAGTTGTTACAGGAACGACGTGAACTATCGACTCATTCCATGACGTTGGTACACTCTCTAGCTCCCAAATCTTTGTAAACAACGTCGTCAATTCCTTAGTCAGAAAGTCACCACCATCTTTAAAAAGAGCCGGAGGTAAGTCATCTGGGCCAGGTGATTTGTAACGCTTCAAGAGTTGGAGTTCCTTGCGGACTTCCGCCTCATTCGGTGGATCAGTCGTCACCGGCCATGGAGGGCAGGACAGTCTGACCGATGTTGCCGGAGCAGCAGGCCAGTTGAACTGCCCTTTGAAGAATTCTGCACATCGCCAAGACGTCGATGGATGTTAGTGATTGGCATCCCATCATCCTCGCAGATTGTTTCGCTCACACCAGACTTCTCGCTGCCAGTGGCTCGGATGAGTTGGAAGAGCTTCCGGTAATTACCAGACGCAGCTGCTGCTTCCAACTCATTAGCACGCTTGGACCACCAGGCTTCTCAGTCCTTACGCAAGCTGTGCCCAATTTCATTACGTAACATCCCTCGTTTGTGGTCAAACTCACGGTCACCCAGAGTAGACCGACGAGCTTCAATGAGTTGTAAGGAACCAGAAGAAACCCAGTGCTTATAAGCGGGACGTTTCGCGAACCCACAACTGACTGTACCCGCCATTTTCATGGCGTCATGCAATTGCAACCAATGCTCATCTATACTTTTCGGTGGAATGGTAGCTAGCCTAGAGGCTAGCTCGGTTCGATACTTACTTGCAACAGAAGTTGCAACCAGCATGCTAATAGCAATCCGTTGATGGCGGTAACTTCGTAGGCCACTGAAAAGTAAGGTAAAATTGGCGCAGACCAGGGCATGATCAGAGTTCAGATAGGTACTCCAAAAGGAGTGGCAGTCTTGTACACAACCACGCCAGCGGTAGCTGATCGCGATGTGATCAATCTGAGTCCAGGCTTCAGATGCAGATCGGCGATGACTGTGCCAAAAGTTAGTGCTAGCCAGAAACCGGTTGTGGTCTGTGCATAGTTAAAGTAGACGGTCCCCGTTATCTGACCTGCAACCAACGAGTCCCCATCGGCCACCTAAAAGACTCTCTTCTGTGCCTAGACGCCCGATCTGAGCATTCAAGTCTCCGGCTAGTACCACAATATCTGTCGAACGCACTTTCTGGAGAAGAACAGACAACTGGTGGTAAAACTCATCCTTGATTGCATCCGGGCTGCAATCTGTCGGAGCATAGGCGGAGATGACGAAAAGACATCGTTTCTCACGCCGATTTCTTCGCACTTCGATGGAATTTTCGAACCTGACAGCAAATAACCGACTGTTAATGGGGATCCAATCGATTAGTGCTACCTCAGCTCTAGCGCTGAGTGCGACACCAACGCCAGCAAGACCAGACGGAGATGCTACAGGGTCCCCGGATAAGCTCACTTAAAACAAGCTTTTCGAAGTGACAGATGAAGAGCGAATTTGTAGTACTTCGCCAGAGTCTTGAATACGGGTCTCGGATAGACAACAAACATCAATATTAAGACTTTCTAAAGAAATAGCCAGCACTATCTGTTGTCCAACCTGCATAAGTGTGCGAACGTTGAAGGCAGCCAGTTTGAATGGTGCACGTGGTTTCAGAAAAACTGCTTCAGTACTCACATTTGGTGGTAACATACAATTTTCAACCGGACAGTGACTCGAGAACGTTTAGATAGAGTCGAATTTCCACCAAAGACGAGCTGCTGTATAAGTCGAAAAAATAAGCATAGACAGAGTAGGAATAAAAGAGGGTGAATAATGATATAGTAAATAACAATAATAGTAATGATAATAATTTGAATCATTTGATTGCTATTTGAAGCAAGAGAAGTAGTTCCCATAAATATAGAGAGTTCATCGTTTGCGTGTGGGCTGTGATACTGCCCGGGTGCCCAGACCGAAGCAGGTGGTTTTCTTAAGAGGCCATACCCGGAGCCTTCGACCTAAAAGTCTGATCTATAAGGCAACGGAGCAATGTCATCAGATGCAGTCCCATGGGAGCCGGTGACCAACAATTGGTTCATACGCCATTTGTTCCCGCAGGATACTGGAGCCCATGTGCACCATTGGTTTGGGATCCGGTTAGCACTCCGGACATTCGCTTTTCGTCCTCTCATTTTCGTAAACAACACCCCTGCCACGAAAAGGCAGTGAGTAGGACTTCCGTGACAGACGCTGTATACGTGTGGCCGTGTGAGAGTATTTCGTGATGGGGGGCGGACCCACCCCGCTCTCGGCCATACCAGGGCATTTAGGGGCTCATTTCTCAGAGACCAACCAATATATTTTCGAAATAAACTACAATCAATGAGTCATCAAATTCAGTAAAATTCCATGAGATTAGGACTTGAGTCAGTGATCCATAGAAATCGGGATGTAAAAAATAATTTATTCGAAGGTGCAAAAGTTGATATTTCATTGAAAATATAACATTTAAACCAATTATCCCATAGAAATGGTTCCATATCGAACTGGATAATGTGTATGAATCGATGGTTGCCTGGCCAACAGCTGAAGCATTAACTATAAGAAGCTTCCACAGTAGATATAGGTTATTTTCTGATTACAGTTCGGGGAAAGCATTGTATTATAGGGCGAAATTCTATGTGGAGATGAATACTTTGTGCTTACAAATAGACATAACATTGAAATATGAAGGTTTTTATTATTTACATAATTATCACAACTAATGTTGACACATTTATGTCATAAGTTCTAGATAGAGTTAGAAAAGAAAATATTGGTCAAAAACTATCTAAACAATCATAGATGATGAAATAGGGATTATAAAGATTTGTATGTTTCAAATAGTTCGTAATAACAATACCGGTAGTTAAAAAAATAATGAAGTTTAATAGTGTAAATGTTAGGTCCCGATAAGCATAATGATGCGTAACTTTTGGGACCCATTTATGGACCAATTCTATGCGTATATTTTCATCGTATAATTGTTAAATAACTAAACTATTCATAGTCATGTCCCTCTTATTATGAGACTTATTTTGACCTATGAAATATTATTATACCATTTACCATTCTTGAATTATGTCGTGTCTATTGATTACTACCTCCCACATTCGGCCAAATCTTGTATAAATGTTGTTTCCTATCTTATTGTTACGATGCGGTCTATCTGGTTGGTATATAAACCCAGTATGCTTGAAATAAATTATTCATATTGCAGAGGCTGAGATTGGTTTTCTGCATTTATCTGACTGAGCTAAACACGAAGCACGGCCAATAAGGACTCTAGACTGCTCTCACTAGTTTTATGCGCCGTTGGTCCGATCGATAATTCACTGCCCTCTAATTGGCGGTATCATTACGTTCTACATTAACAGGGCACACAGGTCACAAGTTCTAACAGTAAAAAACTTAATTTATATTCTTTTCGAGTGTAAATTTGAATTAAACAGTCACAAAATTCAAATATTATTTTCAGTCTCCAAAGTATAGGCATAAGTTTTGATGTTATATAAACTCTAGTTCATATTAATGTAGTTTAGTCAGTGGTTAACCGTTTCCCAACATTAAGTAAACTAACGATTACAAGTGTTCATTTTTTTATTTAGGGAAGAAGTTAAAATACATTAACACATTGATAGAGATAAAAAACACTTTAAAACACATATACACACATGTTATAAAAGAGGATTTTCTGGTGTTTCTGGACAGCATCGTCGTTCATTTGACAAGATACGATAAGCCTCTCTAATATGCTTTGGTTTTAACGGTCCATTTTCACCTAATTTTTCTTTGTAATTTAATGCTATGAAAAAAAATAATTAAAAGTCAATAATCTAATAAAAACCCTACAAAACACAATAGTTTGACTAATCAATATTCATGTAGTCTAATTTTCTAATAAATTTGAAAGGAGACTAAATCAAAAGTTGGACAAACATCTAAGGTTTATACTGGTTAACATTTCGGGAATAAGCATGAGGAGTTTTTTTTTGTGTACAACTACTTTTGGTATACAAATAATGTAACTAAAGTCCATTTCACCTATAATAAATATTGTTAACATTACGGCAAACTATTTATGTCGACAGTTATGTACACAAAAGTCACCCGAGATAATGTGACATTTTTGAACCGAGTAAATCATAATAATGCCGTATAGCTTTTAGACCGCTAATACCTAGGTCAATTTGTAATTGATAAGCATCTTGAAGTATGCAATCTATCAGTTGATGGAAATCAGATCAACCAATCATATGGTCAGAGATGAACCTAATACAAAAGTAATTACAATATGAATATACAAGAAGATAACAAACAGTTTGAGGATAACCAATCGCTAGTCCTGTTATTAAAGTAGACTGATTTAGCACTTGCTTGTTAATTCTAAAAGAATGATTTCTTTTTGAAATAGCCGCTACCAATCTTGACCAGAATGATAACAGAAGCGTTATATTTGAACAACTAATTTAGGTGAATGAAACATATTCGGATGGACTCATATGAGCTATAAATTCTCGCTATCATTTGAATAGTGAAAATAGTTTCCAGGTCATCAGTTTTGTGATTAGTTCTTCAAGTTGGTTGTGAATATATACTTCTAAATAGATTAAAAATAGGGTGTTTAGTAGCCCTTATTTTCCAACTAACTAATTTTTCGTTGGTAGAAGCGCTTGTAACCAATTAACTCTGATTAAAACAAAGAACTTTTTTGGGGTGGTTGATTATGGGAGTCAGAACTTGTGATTCCTTTTATTCAAGGTGCGTTTACCATATTATTCTATGTTCAAACTCATACAAATGCAGCACCTCCGACATTATCACTAGTTTGTTTGAGATATACAGAATGAAAGATTTAACCGAACATTTGTTGTTGTGCCAGTAAAACGAAGAAAAGGCTCAGATAATAAAAGTATAAGTCATGTTGTTATATGTTTTCTATGCATATTTGCTGATAACAGATACGTTTAAGATATGAACGCTTGACACTGAGTTTTTACTGCTTCTAAGTCTGATAGAAATCTCCTACACTTGAACGCCGAACAGAGGGCGAGACGTATGGAAAGAAGCCTTACTTTTAAAGTAAGTTTGAATTAAGAAAAAAAGCTTATAAGTTAACTCATGACGATGATATTCTAGAAGCTTTTGGAAACATGCAGAAATTTGTAACAGAATTGACGATTATCTAATCAATATGTAATATATAATCAATCGTTTTCCTTAAACTCTCTGGGAAGTTTCTACTGAAGGTTAATTAGACGAAGTATTACCAGCCTCTTTTCAGTTTTTGAAAGCATTTCCGAATAATTCTTGTGGGCTTCCGAAAGTTCTAATGTTTAGTTCTCCTTATCGTCGATACAGTAATGATGTACGAGAGAAGTTAGTCTCGAAAACATCATTGAAGCATTCAAAATTCTGTTTCAAATGGATTTTCTAGATTGAATCAACTGATAGTACTTTTGTATTGAAAGAATTTTCATAAACTGTTTTAAAAATGAATAAAAACGACCATTTTAATATATATGAACAGGGGAACCTGTCGAAATAGTTCATTTATAATTAATCAGTTTCAATATTTCTCTAATTTTCGTGTTTTTATAGTTTGGAATAAAATGATGAGAATAGACATTTTAAATCATTTTGATGAACGAATAGGTAAAAATGATTAAGTACTGTAACAAGCTAGCACTTTTTACACAATGTGGGATATAGACTGAATTATTATTCTGCAAGAAATACACATTCATTATGACCTAATCATATACGAAAAGCGACACTTTAACCATTCTTCACACATGAACTCAGGGAAAGATGACTACATATCTTGTAAGAGGAGTTTCTACTATTTATCGCAAGACGCGTTCGCATTCTTAAGCTGCCACTGAACTTAGAAAGTAGAACATGATGAGACATTATGTGGTGGAATAATTAGACACAAAGAGAGTGAAGGTTATATCACAGAAAATGAATAACATAGTCAAGATTGAATTATAGAACTAAAGAGTAAAAGTTCCTATTGAAGTTCAATGGGAAATAAAGTATTCTCAAGCCATGCAAATCTAGGCGATTAAAGCCAATGAATATCATTTAAATATTATCTATTACATACTTATAATATAGACAAAATGAACCCTAAAGGTGATGTCTTTGAGAATTTTATAGCAATAAATAAATAACATTTGATTAATGTTACATCCGAACTAAGAATAAATTAATGGTAACTGCTAAGAATTATTTATGGACTGTTATTACATATATTCTTATTGGGTAATTATTAAGTAACTTGATTATATACATTCATATACATTTCATTTGATATTGACTATTGTGATACGATTTACCATTCTTAACTTATCCTGATTTATTAGTTACAGACTTTCACACTCACAGCCACTTTTTGGTTTGATCATGTATGGTTGTTACATTTTATTTTATGGTGTGATACGGTCCGGTTCGCTTGTATATAAACCACGTATGTCTGAAATGGTTCATATAGTGGAGGCTGAGATTGCTTTCTCGGCTCGATGGGTAGGGCCAAGCGAGAAAGATCAATAAGGATTCAGAGTTGATACAAGGCTGCTACTGTTGTCTTGATGTATCGTTGGTTTAACACAAGAACAAGGTCATACTAATTTAATAGTCGAATTCATGAATCAGTTCAAGCTAGACTAACATGGAAAACCTAGAAGCACTGGACACCCATTTCGTTCAAGTATGGGGCTTCTCAGCAGCGCACATCCATGATCCCGCACGCTGAACGAAATAGCCGTCCAGTGCTTCCAGGTTTTCCAGAGTGGTCTAGCTTAAATCGAATCATGAACTCAACTAGTAAATCACTACAATTTCCACAAACTTCATTCTAATACGGTCAGTGAATCAGTCAGTAACGTGGAAACTCGTACGAACTTACATCAGTTCGAGTTGCCACACCACATTAGCACAGAAATGCAGTTATAGATTCAAATCCAGTAGTGGTAGAGGTAGTAAGAGTATAAGTAGTAATCGGAAACATTAGGGTTTTAAGATGTTGTTCAAGGAGTATAATACAGTGAAATAAATTTAGAAAGAGGAAAAAGAAATGGACACGAAGAATTCAGAAGATTAGAATTTGGGAGAACATAAAGAATGGATGCACATGCGCCATTGCAAACGATTTTGAGCCATATCATTCAGGGTCTCTAACCATCAGTTGCTACCGTCTCGCGGATCCCAACCAGGTAGTCTACACCTACCAACATGACTCAGTCCACTTGTCAGTGACTTCATGGATTTGTGCCATGTTTTGGCCTGGCCGCCCCTAGCTTTCTTCCAACCTACACCTACACCATAAAACATCGCACGTCGAGGCAGTCAGTGGATGGGCATACGTAACACGTGTACCAGCCATCTCAACTGATGAAGTTTCATTACTTCATCAATCGATTTGCCATCCTTACCTAGTACCCGTTTCCTAACAACTGAGTTACTTACTCGATGGTCCCAGGATATACGAGCAATGTTTCGAAGACACCTATGATCAAATACTAGTAACTTAAGAATATTCTCTACTCTTACCGGCCATGTTTCACTGCCATAAAGTAAGACGGAACGAACTGCTGCGCAGTAAACACGTCCTCTGGTTGATGGACGGATATCTCGCCTACGCCATAAGTGATGCAAGTTGACAAAAGCTAGTCGAGTCTTCTGTATCCGTGCTGAGATTTCGTCACACACCAGACCACAAGGGCTGATGAGACTTCCAAGATAAGTGAAGCGGTCGATACACTCAACTACTTCACTCCCTATCATTAGTTCGGGTGTCGGTGCAACCCAATCCTAAAGCAACATTTTGCATTTCGAGGCAAAGAATTGCATCCCGAACATGCCTGCACTGCTGCTTAGAGTGGTCAGAAGACTCTGCATTTTGTCAGCGTCTTCACCAAATAGAACTATGTCATCGGCATATTCTAAGTCAAAAAGTGAATCTCCCGGTAGAAGTTCAACCCCTGGAAATCTAGACGAGGAAATTGTTATCTCTAAAAGTACGTCAATGACAAAGTTAAACAAGAATAGAGAGAGTGGGCAGCCCTGACGAACACCACTTGAGGTAATCAATTCTGATGACAGTTCGCCATAAGCTCTCACTCGACCGGTTGTGTTCGAGTAGAGAGCCTTTATAAAGTTAATGTAATTCTTTGGTACTCCTTTCAGTGATAAACACTTCAAAAGAACCTCACGATCAACAGAGTCAAATGCCGCTTTAAGGTCGAGAAATACTACGATTGTGGGGCGTCTGAATGTATGTCTATGTTCTAGGACCTGACGTAGTGTGAATATCTGGTCTGTACAACCACGTCCAGGTCGAAAACCAGCCTGATTTTCTCTAGTCTGTTCTTCACGAGCTTTGGTTATTCGTCGAAGTACTATTGAAGTTAAAAATTTAGGCACTACATTAGTCAAACTGATTCCTCTGTGATTGTCACAAGAGGACTTTTGTCCTTTCTCATAGACTGGCTCAAACGATTGTCCCTTGGGCTCCGCGGTCACGCTCCCAGGTCGTTAAGGCCAACATTAATTCAACTTCCTTTTTAGGTTCCTTAAGAAACAGCCTTCCACGCTGTGGGCAGCCGGGAATTGACATCAGCCATTATACCGCTAACAGCACACGAGACCAAGTTGGTAACAGTCAAATCTGATAGGGTCATATTAGTTCCTATTTTGATTGGCGATTTAATCACGTGATAACTAATAGGGTAAAAATGATAACAATTAGATAAGTTATTTATGTATGTACATTTTAATGAAAAGGAAGTTCTCCTTACCTTCTTCAACTAATTCTCCAATAAAAACTTTTGTTAAGCCAGCCATAGCGATAACTACATTTTGTGAAACTGAACATGGAGCTACAGATTGTATTAGCTGTGGACAAAAGCAAACAAATTATATTGTTAAACTTTTCTTCTTACAAAAGTTCATAAATTGTATTTGTTTACAGAATATTAAATCATGTGACATAAAAAATTACGACTAAATGGGAATAAGAAGATTTAAATAAATAGTTGCGTACTTTTGAGAAACCCTAATCTAGGACAAAACAAATATTCAATATCCACGTATTTTTAGTGGTGCTCTAAATGAATTCAATCAGTAACAAACATCATTATCAAATATGAATATGTTCATCAAAGAGAAAAACGGATATCTACGTTGAACAATACATTAAGATTAGCTTCAATATAAACTAACACAACTAATACCAGGCTATTTGAATTTACATTACATTTCTGAAGGCTAACGATTGGAAATCACTGTTTCTTACTTACATGTAGGTTTTTAAACTACAAATTTCTCGAATCAGGATGGCCAGTTAAACAAATGAAGTGATAAACACTTTAATTGAAGCAAAAAGAATACCATGACAGTAATACTAAGTAAATGAAACGGAAAACACGGTCATTACTCAATTTTTTTGTCAAAATGAAATCTCATAGAGATGAGGACTATTTGATTAACCGTTAAGAAAAAAATTACTTTACACTGAGAAATAAATTATATGAAATTTAATTTTGTCCCAAAATAATATCAAGATGTACTGAATAGTTGTTCCACCCTATTTGGGACTTTTCAGTAATGTTCACTCATAACTCCAAACGAGTTTGAATACATAACTATCAAATCGTCCGGAGAGTATCACATCTTTAGATCAGCGAAATTAAGGTTCGATGATTCTGTTATAACCTGGATTTTTACGTGAACATAAATATACTTGTTCGATCTAGTAATTAAGATAGAGATGTGAACGTCACAGACTATATTGACAGAAATTACAAACTGGAAATATAAATGTGCACAAATTGTATAAGTAGTCAGTTTTACACAACACGTAAGTCTATTCGCGTAATCATAGAATTCGAGACCAGCTAGGTGACACTAAGCTGATTTTGGTTGAATATTTTCAGAATAAATCATCTTTGATGCCTATTGATATGCTCAGTGGTTTGGTGTGATATGATCTGTCCACAGTTGGGATTAAACATTTATTCATCATTGATGTGTGGTAGTGAAAGTAAAATGTAATTGGTCGTTGAGCGTGAACGAAGAGGCAATTAGCTTACTGACTATTAAATGCATGATCTTTTTTCCTCTTATTGATTTCTACTTCGGACTTATTGAAAGTGACCGCTTTTAACTGTGTTGAATAATGTACTAACTAGTGTTCTGGTTCTCTACTTAGCATATTAACGTAGTATCGTAGTATACCTGAGGGAGGGAAACATTTTAAACTATCCGTTATATAAACCATAGTAATCCATTAAGCGTTCCAGAAAGATTTGTACTTCAAAGTTGTTGATGTTTAGGAATAGATTTGACTAGTCTCTGTTATCATCACAACCTAACTAGGTTTCCGGTATGAATAATAATAAAATCCATGACACGTGCTCCGTTTTGATATATTCGAATTCCAGTCTCCGACTTTTCTACTTAGGTAAGAACCCATTCAGTGAATAATAAGTATCATATTTATTGAATAAGTTGATTGCTATTCTGATTAAGTAGCTGACTAGATAATCATCTTATGTGTGAAACGATGAGTTGGAATCACAATGTGAAACTCAACACTAAGATGTATGTACCTCCAGTTTAAATTGAAATAAAACGCGTATCACCGATCCGAATACCAGCCATTACCCGAATCTATTATAAATAAACTTATTACTATCACAATTTAAAATAAATATGGATTTATACATTAGAATAATAACACTAAGACCACTCTACTACTACTACTGCTACTACTACTAATACTAATATCAATACTACTACTACTACTACTACTACTACTACTACTACTACTACTACTACTACTACTACTACTACTACTACTACTACTACTACTACTACTACTACTACTACTAGTAATAATAATAATAATAATAATAATGAATCTCTAGTTTGTCACTTTTTATTCAAGAAAAAAGTCGGTGAAATTCACACTAGATTTATTCATCATGACAAGTGAATTAAATTTTTTTTTCTAGTTTTATGATAAGTCAAAACAAGGTAACATTTTCAAAGTGTACAAACATTAGAATAACACGGATTTATTGTTTAAAACATATATTGTTTTGTAATTTTGTAACTTAATCTGAGCAAAACAGCAATCGATAGAAGTTAGTACTAAAGACGAAAACAAAAATATTAAGAAACCTTAAAACATGCTTTTTCAGTTAGTGCTTATTTAGTTTAACTATAATAATCTTTTTATTATCCCTGTCATACAAATATGAATATCAATTATGTAGAAAGGAACGTAGAGTTATTTTTTTAAATTATTATCTATACATATAGTATACCATTGAACAACAAGAGATGTAGTTAACTGTTCACAGTTATTCGATCAATAATTACAATAATTAAAGAAGTTGAAAGGAATCAGCTGAAAGATCTTGATAATGAGATCCATATTCACTAAAGTTCAATTGAAACTAATCTTAATATTATTGAATATTGTAATATTGTATATTTATAAACGCTAAAATCTTATTGAAACAGTTACATGGCGAGATTATAATTTATGGACGAACCAATCATGTATAAAACAAGAGGTCTTCGATTTTGGCGCGAAATTCATTCATCCATTTGGCTAAAATGTTTTGGCATTATAGCTGATGTCAGTTCGTGATGAAAACCCTAAATCTAATTCCTAACCTTAACTATCAAATGTAAATCATAATTATAATTCCTCACACAGATTTATAATTCACATTTGGTCCTAGTTATTAAGTGAACACTCTCAAGGTCAGTTTAGCGTCGCTCAAAGGTCGTCCGAAGATTATAGTCTCACCAGTTACATTTCTTAATTCAGTTGAAATGGAACTGACAGTGAAACTGACAAAGCTAATGAGAATTTAAATGATCGAAAAAATCCTTATTTAGTGTGAAAAAAATTATTTTATAAATTAGTCGTAAACCGAACAGTTCAAGCCGTATTTCTTCATAATTCAAACTTAGTTGGATCCGATGACAAAAGGATCTTTCTAAATTCATCCAATCAAAAACCAATGGATACTATATTTCTGAATACTTAGTATACTACTGAATAGAAGTAGTTACACACTATGCGCACTAATTGAGAAACTGAACAAACCAATTAAGCATGAACTGAATAGGAAACAGGTGTTTTTAATGTTCTAATGATGAAATTTATTGAGCTATTAATAATTGTTGACAAATTGTGTGATTAATTAATAAAATTTAAAGTATTCAACAATTCCTTAGTTTCACCGTTCTGTCTAAACTATTTAACTGTAAAGTGAGGAACACTAAATTCTCATTCAGTGGTTCAGTAGTAGATTGCTCATCGTGAGACCTGAAAACCCTGCTATTGGTGCTGTGTGGAATAATGGTTGAACATTAATGAGACGAATTAGCTGTTAAATTCTGTCTTATTCTCAAATTTTTGTTTGATGATAACAGTTTATGATGAAAAACAACCTCAGGTTGTATAGAGTCAAGACAAAAGCAATTAAGTATTTAATTATGCATTCTCGGCTTCAAAAACTCAAATTTATCCATAAAAAAAAGAAACTCAACTCCGAATCGCTAATAGGTCACTTGGATTTAAATTAAACAAATAAACTTATCACTGTGGATACCTATGACAGTATAATGTCTACTTATGGTCCGTTATGTAGAGTATTTTGATTAATTTTTAAAATATGGATGATATTTGTGATATTTACCAAGTTATTTATTAAGGAAGTCCTCCACTGATCACATTTATCGGTGAGCATTAGAAAAAAAACTTGCAATAACATTATTACTAAAAACATAATAACTCTATACGAATTTAGGTATTAGCCAACACGCTTTACTTAAGTTATCGAATTTATTCATTCTTTTCAAATCATATTCTCTGTTTCATTGTTTTCATTATCACTAAAAATTCTACTAATCCTACTACGGTACTAAATTTCATTTTGATAATTTTATCTCCCTTTGTAAAATTGTGGTATGGCAATTTAAACCGATGCACGGGTTAAGTTACAAGTTGCTTACGACTGATCAACTTTCCCTTCCCAGGTTGTTTAGTGAATAAAGAGTGCAAGTAAATGTGCTGCTGAACACATTAACTGTCCTGTCACATATTATCATCATCGCAAATTTCTAAAACTGGTCAAAACATTTTCGAATTATCTATTTGAAATAACTTTCGTCAATGACTTAAGTAGCTTAAATTGCGATCTAGTTCTCATATTTAATTTGATTATAGATAAAATCAAAAATTAATAAGTCATTAACTCAAATTAATGATTGATGCTAGTTCACAAAGAATAAATAAAACAACGGGAAAATGAAACTATAAACTTACTCGTCTTACTACAGCTTTAGTAAATGTAGCTCTTCGAAATGTTTCGAATCGATTTAACTGTTCCTCATCAAAATGTGCCAATAAAGCCAGTAATTTACGATCTTCTATTTTTCTTGCTTCTTTTTCTTGTAGTAGTGCAGATGATAGAATTTCACTGACAACAGATTCAGTATCTGCATCACCAAGTACAGTAGCGCTGTCATCTTCATCGTCCTCTTCTTCCTCTTCATCATCATCTTCCACTTCTTCTTCATCGTCATCATCTTCAACTGTTTCTTCATCATCTAACAAATTAGTATTAGTTAAAATTTCAACTTCACATTGATTTGTTACAGTTTCTGATATATGAGTAGATGATGAAGGAACAGATGAATGATCAGTGACTGAAATAGTATGAGATTCACCTTTTTTAGTTTGTGATGAATCTACATTGTGCTTAAAAAGAAATTGGGACGAAATAAGATTGAACAGAATTATCATTAATTTAGTAAAATATCTGTGACATAAAAGCAAAGAACATTAAACTTTCAATAGTTGAAATCATGAGTCAATTGAAGCCAGACCACCATAGAAAACCTGGAAGCACTGGATGGTCGTTTCGTCCTAGTATGGGACTCCTCACCAGTGAGCGTCCACGATCACGCCCCCCGCGAGATAAAAAAAATAAGAAAAGCATTTCCTTATCAATCTTTATTCTAATAGACAGTAATATCCGTAGGGTATACAAAAATATTAAACAAATTCAGGCAGTTTATAACAATAGATTACATAATTAAACATAATCAGTAAAAAGTACGAATTGATAGTGTGATGGTAGGTGTACAAGTTGTGATAAGAATAAAAAAAGGTTTGGATCAATGTTTCATCATAAAAAGTAGGACACTGAAATAACATTCATTTAAAGTTGTTAAATTAGATAGTGAAGAATAAATTTAGAAAAGGGGTAAAGAAAAATGAACGAACAACGAGTATGGATAATAATAATAAGTAAAACCGTTTGTTAAGCTTAGTTCCATCAAGAAAGAGATAAGGCTGTTACAAATTTCTTACGATTACAAAGACTTGGGTAGTTAGCAGGAATCCCTATAGCTTCTGATTTATGGAAGGGACGGAATCAAACCTCATAAGCTAAAGTACTAGGTATATGATAAATTTATCTTAGTTGATTTGGTTCTATCTACTACATGACCGTTATCGACCAAGTGTGACAGAACGGAGGTGCGTATTATTTTGGTTATACTTTTAGCATTAATAAGAGCTATTGCATATCCAAAAAACGAGAAAATAATTCTGTGCAATGTTCATGATTGTTTGAATTCGAAGTTTATTACTCCTATTTTTATTGTAATAGTAACATCATATGGTAAACCCCAGAAAAAAAATTTACAAGTCGATTATCACATCATTCTTTAATTATCCTAAGAATGTACTTAGTCTTTAAACACCATACTGATGGAGTACTGTTATGTTAATTGTTTACATGAAAAGTATTAAGATCTGGGTGAGAGGTAAATGCCACCAGAGCTAAAACTATTGAACTGCCATACTCATTAACAGTCTTTGAACTGAACAGTAATAATAATCATAAAAGACAATGGACAACTGACCACGCTTATTTGTTACATTTAATGAGATAAAACATTTATTATACAGAAGTGTTAAACAGAATGAAGATTATTATAAATTGAAGAATATAGTCAGTCAGTTGGCTAATAATAATAATAATAATAATGTGAATTTTATCTGACATCTATTGAAATAAGTTTTTTTGAATAATAGGCTGGATTGCCGTTTTGATTGATATGTGATTTATTCTACAGTATACGCAGTTGTCGGATAGTTTGACTGAATAATTATCTCAACAATTTCGAAACAAGGCTATTCATCACACCCACTGTATGGAAGCTATTATTGGTAAACAGATGAGACAAGCTTATTACTTAGAGAACGGTTCAAAAGCAGTAACTAACTGGCTGATATGTGGGCGCTTACAAAAATGAAAATGGAGTGATTCAGAACATCATCTCACTAAAGAGAAAATCACTGGAACATGTTGTAAATTATTTAGTCGAATATCAAAAACAAAATTTTTAAAACAAAATAAACCTACCACATTAATCAATTTTGGCTTTTTAAACGGTTGTTCAACAATGGGTTGGTTATCATCATCTGAAACAGACTGAATTGCAGTTGTAGATAAGGGGACTTGATTCTGATCTGTTAAATCTGGATCTTGACTCCAATTTTGTGTACTGCTGTTATTTTCATCATTGATTGGATAAAGACTTTTAGAAATAGGATCCATAATTCCCGAAGAGTTGGGAAATTATTTGGTTACAATAGTGAATCTGTAAAAACAGCACCTTTTTTTTGAAAAAAAGTGGAAAGGTATACTTTGATAATGAATTTAACTAGATAGAAACCAGTTTAAAGCTTCTAGTTCATTGCTTTTATACACTTAAGATAAAAATACGATATTATAACCAGTCACTTATCTTACTGATCTCATCTGACCTAATTAACAACACAAAAGTGATTATTACTCAGTGAAAATCGCCACGATTTCGGACTGTTTAAGGAGAAATGAAATGTATATTGTCCCAAGATCGGTAGAATCCTTAACTATTTGAACTGAATTTTCCTAAATGAGAATACATGTATCAACAGTCTAAGTTATCACAAATTTGTGACCTTATCAGACTACTTAACATTTTTTTAATTTGAACTGTAAGTATGAATGTTAGAAATATTTATTAAGTGGCAAAATTGTGTTTTTACTTATAATTTTATCACTAGTCATTTTATTAGAGTAAATGTGCTCATCTCTTTAGATGGAGCAGCCGATAAATTGAACTGCCCCAACATCATTAATAATAAATTCATACAGATATTATGAATCGAAAACAAATATATTCATTTCATTGGTTGAAATCATGAGTCAATTGAAGCTAGACCACCATGGAAAACCTGGAAGCACTAGACGGCCGTTTCGTCCTAGTATGGGACTCCTCAGACATTAACACCGTTGGATGCCGGCTCAGTGCTCTAGTTGGTTAAGCGCCTGGAGCGAAACCGACAGGTCCTGGGTTCGAATCTCGCGAGGAGCGGGATCGTGGATGCGCACTGGTGAGAAGTCCCACACTAGGACGAAACGACCGTCCAGTGCTTCCAGGTCTGGCTTCAATTGACTCATGATTTCAACCAGTGAAATTTCCAAAAAATCTCCACAAAACCCATTCTGAAAATATATTCATTAATAATAAATAATGAAAATCAAATATAAACAACTTTCATACATACCAAAATTTGTTTAAATTATACCTAGTTCAATCTCTTACAGTAGCACTGTCTTAATATTGAAGCATGTTTGATTCTAAATAGTTTGAACAATATCACAAGTTTGGACAAATAAATGGTGAGAGAAAAGTGAAGTTTTAAGTTCCGATCAAACTTAAATTATTGATTTTTTGTAATTTAGTCATTTCATTAAAATGTAAAACATCACAATACCCAGAAACTTAAATTAATTACTTAATAAAAATTGATATCTGTTACGTAATTCCGTCTTGGATATATCGAAAATTAAACACTCCAATTAGTAAGATAAAATGAATTCCTTTAACTGAGGAATATGATGCACAAAAAGTAATGGCAATTATATTGATATATAAAAATTGAGAACAGAGAGTAGAACAGTGATCATACAACTAATTCAACTGGTACAAGTGGGTTATTTCTGTTTAATAACCACGTGCTGAATAATCAGTCCTGAGACCAAGGCTCATAATCTTTTGGAGAATATGTGGTAAAAACCAAGTAAATAGGAACATATCAAAACTCATGTGTCTTCAATACAACCCACCTGATTTGAGTAACGATACACAAAAGTGTTGTGTGCCTATCAATACTAGCTTCATTACAAAACAGGGTCGTCATAGCCATTCAAAGTTGATAAGTGGGCATAAATATCTCAACCAGACTGTGAAAGGACGATACAGTGATGTGGAAACACGAATCACTCAAGTATAAAGGTGTATTCCTACTTATCAGTTCTTTCTGGGAAGTATTACAAATCAAGCACTTAACTAACAAACCAATAGATCAAACGTACGTGGGCTTTTAAGTTAGGTCCGTATAATTATTGGTTACATGATCAATCAATTCTACAAGTATACTGTAAATGAAATCACATGGACAAACTGAAGATATATTGTGACTTAAAATCTCAACAAATTTTTAATTCTAATTCAATGCCATTATGTAATGATTTCGCCGGCAAAAAAATAACAGCAATCATATTGCATTATCAGCGTGGAACAAACTACATAATGTCAGGTAGTTCATATTTAGAAAGTAGTGGCATGAGCATATTCACAGCTCTTATGATTACATCTTAATTTTATTAACAGAAAGTAATTTGAAACAAGCCATATTGTGTTAATATTGTTGAGAGTCTCTGAGTATAAAATTACATTTTGCGTGTTCGGAGGCAAAACTTTGAACCTGTGAAAATGACTAAACAAACGCATAAAGGTATTTTGAAAACATACACCGAGACGGTAAACATAGTTAGAATTTTTTCACAATAATGGGCGAATTTTAACTACTACATCCCGATATGATTGACTGGTAGGAACTATATTGAGAAAAAAGATTCCAATCTCAATAGATAGATCTACACTGATGATATTGTAATTACGGCATCAAGTGAATGTGAACACTTAATTAGAAATGGAGCTTTTGATCCCTAACGTCAAATAAATAACTTACAAATCGGAATAGCTCGTTATCGCTTCGTACCAAATCGGGAATTTGTATGTTATACCATTTAAGTAACTCAAATAATAGTAATTCTTATACGTCTGTTCCCCCCCCCAAAAAATACAATCAGTGCTCATAACTGAAAATCCTTTACACCACATAGATTTTGAAGTAGACTAGACATGTCAGATTAAACTATATGATAATCCGATGGACATTTTAAAGTCTTTGTTAGAATGATCGATAGGATTGATTGTTTAACTTGTGGGTAGTATATTCTGCTACTGTATGCTCTCAAAGAGTATCATTATTTCAAAATAAGTAGAGGTGTTATGCATTCAATGTATCGTATATTTGTTTCACCTATAAAATCGCTGGAGATTAAATCCTTGAATGAAATTTATTAGGAAGAAATTCGGTATGATGATGTACTAATTTAAAGGTAACATTCATTCACATGACTTTTGTATTAGTTCAGTGCAACATTAATTGTATTAAAAAAAAACTCAATGTAATCTCTGTTCGCTTGACTTTTAAACTAATCTTTCGTGATTTTCGTCCAGTTCTTTCATTCAGCACATTGTTCACCCATCTTAATCTTGTGTGAAGTTCGTTAAATGTGACAAATTACTTTACTATTAGTCATCACAATTACATATGTATATAAAATATATCAAAATGATTAGTAATCTCCTAGGGTCTCCACCAATAAATCTTAAAGAGAAACTTGTAAGTCTATTCCTAGTTGATGAGCAGGAAAGAAGACAAGATTCAATTTGATTCATTGTGAATGAATTCATAGTTGAAAAATTATTAGCTTAGTGTACAGATGTATCGAAAAGTTAAATGTTATAAAGACTAAGTATCTATTGATCTGTGAAAGCATACAAATTGTAGGTTGGAAAAATAGTTCACCACACTAATAATTGGCTATGACATAAGATCCAGTATAAAATGAGTGCTAGTCCAATTTACCAAAAATTCACATTGGTATGAGGAAAACTTTACTATTGAAATGAGCAACGAATTTCCTTGTGTTATTTATTACAGATCATAAGGTGACGGTGTTTTGACTACTACATCTAAATGACGAAAACATGTAGGATGTAAGATGTATATTAATGGGCCACAGTTCAACCTTACACCAAATGTTTAAAATTTATCACAAGATGGAAAAAATCGAGTGTTGTTAGTTTTTTAACGCCTGCTATCCACATCGTGGATGGATTTTTTCTCAGGGACCAGAGAAGGAAACTGGGCAGGTAGTAGCTCTATCAAATTAGAAGTGTGACAAGATAGGTGTTACGTTATCATGTGAATACATTTGAATGCATTAGTATTTTGCAGACCTTACGATCCGTAGATGGTCAAGTGTGCTACTCCTAGAGCCGATCATTCCTAACTCCTTTCTGTTGTGAGAAAGCAGAACAGCTGGAGAGACTGTCTATTTATAGGACACACCAAACTACCATCACACGTCAAAACAATTGAGCATGACTCATTTGCTGCTTCTAGTCATAACGCTTTACAACAAGTATATCTGGCATGATAAAACGTACTCCCGCAGATATTTATAAACTAAGTGGAAAATCTAATCAGGTAGTAAGGCAAATATCACTCGGAAACCAATAAATTTATTTGGTACTTTGTATCCTACATAAACTTCTATGTCAATTTTGATAGCGAACGAAACTATCTGTTTGAATCGAAATAAAGAGTAGGCTTAGAATTAACTCAAACTATGAAGAAACTTTTAGACTATCAACCAACGGCTAAGATATATCTCATCACAACATATATTTCTTGGAAGAAAACATTTACTGAAAGTCAACTTCGTGGCGCAAACATGCATATTTATTCTATGAGGAAAAAGAGTATTTTACGAAAAGCATATTTCGAATTTTATTAAAAAGAAGGAATTTGTACAAATAATAAACCGGAGTGTAAACGTTACGAAGATAAACAATTTCTGCTAAAAAGTTAGTTGAGTGATTATCTACAACTATACTTTTAGAAGTGAATAATGTCGACTACTAGTTTTTGTTATTAGAACTTTTTGCAAAATCGATAGTATTTTGAACGGCACTAATCAACTGTTCAATCATTTGACATTGCTGCCGTAAATGCGGTGCGTACGCTGGCCACCGACAGACAGGACATTCAAATGCACCAGTATCTAACCACTTTCTAATACAATGTTCATGAAAACCATGTCCACAAGGAAGTGCACTTAGGCGTACACCTAAACGGAATTTCTGCCAACATACAACACATTCTTTACACGGTACAACCCATGATGGCCAATCGTTCAAAGGATTCGCAAAATTTATATCATTGGACGACACATATGATGACGAGGAAGAAGTGGACAACATAGAATTACTGGACAGTAAATTACTTCGTTTAGAAACTCTACGAGAATGAAGAAAACCGTTATTTAGGCATGCTTCATGATCAATAGTGTCCACATCTGAGGTAGAACTTGAACTTGGGGATATGGTTATCGGATTTGATAAGTGATTACTTCTTATATTTGGACGAAGATGAGTTCTATACCTTCTTCTTGTAAAAGATGAAGTTTTTGGATAAATACGATCATCACT